ATGTATCAACAGACATCCTTCCCCAGACCACCACTGGCCTAAGAATTTGACCTTCCCTCAAGCCATAACTCACACTTCCCAAACTTGGCATACAGGCCTATGGGCTCCTAAGTAACTCAAGCACAACCCTCAAATGTGGCCTCTGCTCCTCCTTCAGAAGGCGAATAAGATAAGGATGTCCGTTCCACAAAACGACTACAAACCGATCCAAGAATTTCCAGAATCCGGTTCATCAAATCCATAAAGACTGCCGGTGCATGTGAGTCCGAATGGCATCATCCAGAAAACTCATAATGGCCATACGCTACGGAATGCGTACTTCGAAATATCCTCTTCCCCTTGACCCTCAATGGTGTAAACCCGATCTCAAGTCTATCTTAGAGAAACAACGGGAACCGCTTAACTGGTTCAAACAGGTCATCTATACGGTGACAGGCATAGGGTACTTATTTCTTGACCGTAGCCCTATTCAACTTCCAGGAATCTATACAAAGTCTCAAAGTGCACCACTTTCTTTTTAACAAAGAGGGCCGGTGCTCCCCACGGCGAAACACTAGGACGTATAAAGCCTTATCTAGCAACTTCCTGGAGTTGAATCTTTCAAACTCAACTAAACTCGGCGGGGCAAAACGATAAGGTGCCATAGAAGAAATCGGCGCCGTGCGGGCACTTAGGTCAATTAGAGAATCAATCTCTCGATGCGGTGGCAACCAACAAGATACCTCGGGAAAGACGTCGAGTACTCACAAACCACCTTGCAACACAATGAGTCTCTCATCTTCACTAATCGAAAGTTGGCAAGTAGACCACTAAAGCTCACTTCATCCTCGCGGAATATACCCCGGTGGCAACAATCCCCAAACCCGGTCCCCCAGACAATGAAAATACTCTCGTTCACGGTACAAACAAGTACCCTCTGGCGGTAACAATCAAATAACTGCCCGGTATGGACGATAACCAGTCCGTACCCAGATAACATCAAAACCCCTCATAGGGCATAACTACAAAGGAAATTGGATTCTATGATAATCAACCTCTATATCACAACCCCTAACACCTTGTTTCAAAAATCAATCACCCCAAAAAGTGACACTACACAATAGGATATGCTACTGTGCCAATCTCCAACTCCAAAATAGATGCAAATGCAGCAGACCCAAAGGAATGAGATTGCGCCCGTATCAATCAAAAACATTAGCAACCGAAGTTGCAAAACAGAAGGTACCTCTCACAACTGATGGTGCTGCACGCAAGATCTGGCGCGGGGGGTAACAGCGTACACAGCGCCCAGACGACCTCTGATCAAACCTGCCTCACCCCTAGAGCATAAGATTGCTTGGCACTGACTGGGACGATGAAGCCCCCTGGATTGGCCCTCGAGGCCTGACCTGACTGATCTGGCTGCTGACCCTGAATCGGCCTCAAACCAGATGCACCAGGTGTGCCACCCAACTGCGCAAACCTCGTTCATATTGCCCTGGCTGACCACACTGATAACACGAGAGTGGCTGGCCTCTAACCCTGACTCTGGCTTGAGATCGAGCGAAGATGATGCCTGCTCTCTAGCACTCCTCCCCTGTGAGGACAAGCTGAATGACTTGTGGCCAGCTGCCACCTTGAAACAGTAATGTCTCCATGACTTGCCTTTCCACCGAACTTAGCACTTGCACAGGAAAAGTCGGATCTAGAAAGCTACCCTGAACTGTTGGCGATTAAAATACCCTTCTGTCTCCTACCATCACTCTGACCATCCTGACTCCTCTGGAGCCCTTCTGCCCTTCCTCCTCCTCCTGCATCATGATCTCCATATGGGCTGCAGCATCAACCACGCCCATATCCCGAATCATAGTTTCCCCCAACTCTCAGCTGAGGCCACGCCTCAACTTCTTTCAAACTCATACAACGGCGTTCTCAAACGCCACCAACTCAGGTGCAAACCTGAACAAGCTAGAAATGCAGCCTCGAAACTCGGCCCTGAAAACTCGACCTGTTTAAAACTGCAGAACTGGGTCTCTCAGTTCTCTCTAACCTCTGGAGATTAAAAACTTCTCTTGAAAGCATCACAAAGCCTCCCATGTACCTCTATACGACCCTAGTAAACTTCCACACTTGACCCGCATTCCCCCTTCAACTGGAAAGATGCCAGGTCCACTTTCAACCCTTCTGTCTTCGATGCCAAGCATCTCAAACGTCTTCGTTTGTTGTCGAGCCATTCATCTGCCTTAAGCGGCTCTTTAGGACACCCACAAATTCCCGGATTAGACCGGAAGAACTCCCTCTTCAGAAAGGAAGTCCCGCATCTGCAACAACAACCTGAGCTTGATTCTCAGCTCTGAGAATGCTACTGACTCCCTAATGCCCCGCTATCTCTCGGGCTGTAGAGCGCCCATAGCCTGCTGGCCTACTGGCTCTGGCCAATTGGCCTGGCCAACTCCCCCTGTACTGCTGGAATCTCCTCTGGCAAGCCACCTGCTGCCTACCCGCCCTACGCCACGCCTACCGCGTCCTCGTCCTCGTCCTGACATCTAATAAAGGAAACAAAGACTTAGGACATTAATAATGTGCCGAAGCTTAAACACTCACGTCCTAATGCATTGACAACAATAATTCATTCCACGTAAGCCACATAATCACATAAGCCAAACCTACGATTTTCATTCCTGGATTAATATAGTCCCCAATGCTTACTATAGTTCCGGTTGGAAGCAACAGTGATCAAGTGCCTTTCCAACAAGGACTACTAGAACTCAAGGGTTCCAATCAAACATCCTAGAAACTACATTCCATACCCACATATCATATTAGCACATAGCATATAACATTACACTAAGTCTCTATCAAACGAGGACGAACCCAATGTGATACTAATCACTTTCCCACGTCCCAAAGATTCAAACCCGGTATGCATCTGCATACCAAGTTGTAACGCCCTCAAAAATAAACCCATTAATATATATCATTGACACGCATTATTTAATGAAAACATTTATTAATTCATTCATCAAGTATTTTGTTACTAAATAAAAGATTACATTGTAACATCAGTAAATGCCCAACAGGCTTACATCTTTTTCAAGCCAACACTTGGATACAAAAATATGATCTAACTCATACAAAAACCCTAGGCTTGAATGTTTAATTTGTATTAATTAAATAAAAACAATTAACTAAAGATAATCTTCTTAAAAAAATCCAGAAGCCCAAAACCCTCCCAAGCTAAGTCCTTGGTAGTTATCACCTGAACTGAATGATGTTTCCCATAAGGGTGACAGCCACAACCCATAGGAAAAGTATACTAAAACCACATATAAACAATGAATAAAGCAATAGATTTCAACAGATGGTTAACCAAGATAATCAATTACTTCGTTTTACAGTCTCATTGACACCTATTGTCTAATACACGTTTTACTTCCAACCTTTAATTCAACATGGCTCAGAACGCGGCCAAATTTACAACAGTGAATTATATGATACATAACCACATTCTTCCAATAATCAACAACAAAAATGAGACTCAAGCCTCAAATCAAAACACTTCATACTTTCCAGATGATAACATTTTAGTGTTGTATAATAAAACACTTCTATATAAATAAAGCAACATAAAAGTGATTGCTAATGGAGTCCATCCCCTATCTCCTCCCAAACAAAATCCGGTTAGAGGTCCATCCCCTATCTTCCCAATAAACCGTGGAGTACATCCCCTATCTTCCTCCCACACAAAAACAGTGTATGCAAATGCAATGCTCAATCAAACACTGTATTTCATATATCATGCAACAGTTACAAAATGCAATGACTTATCAGATGTGATTAGTTTCAGTTATTCCAATTCCACATGGCAATGTCTACAACAATCACGACTATCCTCACCGATAGCCCAAAAACAGTTATTTCTAAACCGAAAATAACTATGTAACAATTCAATAGGCAAATTGATTCAAATTATCCAATTACGCCATTTAATCAAGAATTCTCCAATTCATGAATTTAATTATACAAGTAATTTAATAATACAACTAGGGTTTTTTCCAAAATTACCAAAGTATCCCCAACATTTATCAAATTACAAAACTTAGATCAAAGCTTATAAAATGGAGTAGGAAATCCCTACCTCGAAGAAAAACAACCCAAAGTGAAGACAGAGATGAGTGCCAAAGACCAATGTGCTCCAAACACACCAAACAATTCAGATTAAAACAAGCCCTCGACTCACCCACTCTTTTAATGAAGGATCTAGGGTTAGAAACACACCTAAGAAGATCAATCCTAAGAGAGAAGGTGTGTATAGGGAGAGAAAACTCTGTAACTTAGGTTTTGGAATATGAAGTGTAATTGAAAAAGATCTGAACACGCTGCTGCCCTATTTAAACCTGACAGGCTCGCTCGGAGCGAAAGACTGGTCGCTCGAGCGAACCAGGACACATAAAGATACGCTCAGAGCCAAGAAAACCTTGCTCGAGCCACAACCCAAAAGCTCGCTCGAGGAAAGAAAACTCGATCGAGCGAAGAACTCAAACCACTTAGGTCTGTATAACCGACTTACGCTCGAGCGAAGAACGAACTAAAACTCGCTCGAGCGAAGAACGAACTAACTCAGCTCGACGCGAAGAAAAAGGCTCGCTCGAGCCAAGAATGCACAGCTACAGGTCCAAATCAGACGCAACCTCTCGCTCAAGCTACCAAACCCCGGCTCGAGCGAAGAACCAAAAACAACATCTCGCTCGAGCGACAAAATCCTCGCTCAAGCGAAGATCCAAAATTCTGGACGGCAACACTTGGTTTCTAAACCCAACCAACCTGAAACAAACCTGCCCAACACATCTTATAAGTCCAAATGAGCAAATAAGGGACAATAACAACAATAATACAATGACAGAATCTACGGAACCTAAGCCCGGATACAATAATCAAATGGGAGAAGACCGGGGTCGCTATAGAATTTGAAAAAAATAAAATAAAATTTAAGTTTGATATTTCAAAGAGGTGAGACATACAAGTGCCTTGCTTTAACTAGCATATCCAGACCAGTTGTGCTCCCACTAGAGACTGGAATTGTTCCATTAAGCTGGTTCTCAGTTAAATCTAGCCATGAAAGATTAGACAAATTACCAATGGAAGGCGGGATTGGTCCACTGAAGTTGTTCGCATTCAGAGCTCTGCAGACAATGCTAATAAAAGTTTAATATATTTACTGTACCATAATTAAAAAGACCAAAGACATGAGACTAGACATATACACTGGACTTGAAATTCTTACAAGAAGACCAGTTGCTGCAGAGATCCTATTGAGTCTGGAATTGGACCAAAGAAACTGCAACCAATGAGGATTCTGTATGTAACAAAGAGCAAATGATTCAATGTAAGGAGTGAAATTTCACGAGTTGTTGATACTAAGAAATAGATAGAATTTTCTTACAAGGTTGTAAGCTGATTCAAATTCCCGATCAATGATGGAAGAGTTCCAGTCAGACCCTTGTTGTTAGATAGATCCCTGTATGCAAAAGTTAATAATGAGAAATTATCTCTCTTTTTTCTATCAAGAATGAAGAATATAAAAAAATAATGCAGCTAATTAAGCAAGGAACTAAAAATAGTCTTATGGAAGTAATGTTATTTAAGATATCCAAAATAATAATTCAACAATTATGTCTATGATGAATCAAGCTATTGAAAATGCCAAGGATATCCAATTCCAAGCACTATAGTCTACAAAGATGATGGTAACGAAAATTGAATATGCCATTTATATTACATCTAAATGGATTAAAAGCAAAAGAAAAATTAGAAAACCTACAGATATTGCAATTCAGATAATGATAGGATGTCACTGGAAAGGGAACCCGTCAAATCCATGCCTGCTAGTATCCTGAAATTGAAAGTTAACTGGTTCAAGATCAAAGATTGTCAAGTTTTTTAAAATAGTAGAACATGATTGCATTACATGGAGGTCACTTGGGAATTGGTGCAAGAAATTCCTTAATTAAAAAGTGACAAAAAATAAATACTATCACACTTAATTAAATTAGGTGTGATTAAAATATTAATTTGATTTTTTTAATCACATTTTCATTAAAAGTTTCATGTTTTAGTTTCTTAAGTATGATCTTTAAGCATTTTTGTAGTAGTGCTGTCAAAACAAAGATTCTTATCAAATCGAAGCCACAATATGAGACTTGCAAAATGGCACTCTTAACATTTAAAGACCAAAGATTCATAGCTCGCAAAAAAGGTTTACTCGAGATGATTCGCCATAAATTATTTTCCAATTTCTTAAAAAAGAATGCCATCGTAGAAGACAAAAATCGCTAATAAAGCATTTAGTTGAACCAGACGAAAAATAAACAACATAAATTACAAAAATCTAACCAAGGAAACACTTAGTTTAACAATGTTTGCATTTGATGTGTTATGTACATTAAAAAATGATGAAACATGCATATTTTGCACCATAAAGGATCAAAATCTATGTGAAAGTCCTCCAAACAGAAAAGAAGAAATATATTTCACATAGGTAAGGTGATATATTTCATGGAGGTAAGGTGCACTATTGGTATATTAGTTGTGCTATGTAAGAAATGGCTTATCAACACTACTATAAATGTCAATAAGACATGCAATTGGCACAGATATGTATAGATTTTCAAAACAAAATAAAATTATTTTAAACATGAACTGGTAGGATGATAGCAAGAATTGTCAGTAATTAATTCCAGTTTTAAGCTACTAACCTCCCAGAAGTTCCACAATTGATTATGCAAGCAACTCCAAAATGGGGATGAACAGAAATATGAACGTGTTTAAGTGTTAAACCATCCACAAGCACATTTCAAAATCATAGAACAATCTTTCTTATTACTAGCACAAGCTAATACTCTGTTGCAACTCAATCTAGTGTTAGATCTATTATTTCCAAAGCAAGCAATGCTAATGCTGATCTCTTTGTTGAGCTTGGTGATAAAATATGTTTTGGTGATCTTTTCTTGGAGGTACTGCATTATTAGGTAGGGTAGTTCTGTATAATAATGGTGAAATGTGAACCTGATGTTGTTGAATTCAATCCTCAAGGGATGCAATTACATTTTTTATTTGAACTGAATGATATGTGGTGTGTATTCTTGGAAAGGAAAGACTGTTTTCATCATCAAAAGGAAGGGTGCCACAAAGAAGGGCATACAAGATAACCCCACAGCTCCATACATCTACCATAGGAGCATACAGTTTCCCAAATATAACCTATGAAAATAGATGAATTTATTAAACTTGGAAATTCAACAGTTACTTTAGATACAAATAGCATTCAATTGAAAAATCTCACTGACTTGTTTCACTGTCTTAAATTATTCCATAGATACCATAACTCTGGGAAACATAATTTGGGCTTCCATAACATGTTTTCAGAAAATGACCATCCCACATGATATTGCTCAGACCAAAATCAGCAATCTTCACATTGCACTTGGAATCCAAAAGCAGGTTCTCAGGCTTAAGATCTCTGTGAACCACCATATTGTTTTGGTTTCCTTAAGAATTCGGTATGATTTCCTTAAACAATTTACTTCTTACTTCTTAGCAAAAGAGAAGATAACCACAGAGGTCTTATACAAGTTTTATGGTTAAAAATATTTGATATTTGCACCTGAAAGATCTCAAGAGTCAAATTTTATGATCTAGAGGAGGATTTGTGAAAGTGGAGACAGTTCCAAACCATGTTCTTTCTTTCTCAGGAGAGGAAGAAGGCATTATTCACCCAAAAAGGAAAAAGGCATTGTTGTTTGCTAGTGGCAGACACAATTCAGTTTCTGATTCTTTCTTCCACTTTAAATTTTTTTTTTCTTTTCTTATTCTCTCATTACTTCATATATGTCTATGTAAGCCCCCAAAAAAGGTTGAGATAGAAATAATAATTTCCTCAATTGAAATAGTTACAAAGTGGTATTATAGTTTTGTTATGAACGTTAGAAAATTATTATGAATAATTATAATGTAGTTAAAAAAAAATGCATATGTATTTTTTAATAGAGCACAATTTTCCTATAGAAACACAGATAAATGGTGTTGGGGAAAACATTAGACAAGCTTTAAAAAAGTGAATTATGGAGTAGGTGCTGACCCATTAATTATCTAACCATATCTACATTTAGTGAAAAAGGCAAAACCTAGATCTAAGTTTTTCATAATATATAGATGATATAGCTAAATCTACACAAATGCAAATAAAAGCTTGATAATATTAAAGTTGGTGCAAGTTATGATTTCTTTTGGAATTCCACTTTCGAAACCAGTATAAAAAGTAACATATATGCAAGAGCAATATTATTTTTCCAAGAAGATCATAATTTCTAGTCCATGAAGTGCAGATAGAAGTGTAAATGTGTCGGCTTTACAAACAATAAAAAAACATCAATATTTTATTTATATTTGTTCATATAAACTTTATAACTTGGTCACTGAAATTTAACCTGAAACATGATTTCCTTGCTGGAAGCACTTTCAACTCTTCAAATGAGTCCAAATCTAATATTGAGTGGATGAAGAAAAGGATTGAATGAATTAGTCTTTCAGTTCAACACTTCCATAGAAGACAGAAAAGCGAAAGACAAGAATTTTACATGCCTTGTTGTCCGGATTCGCAGCAGATCAATCACCAACATAAAAATACAAAAGTGAATGGAATTACAAATATTAACAGAACATAGAGAAAAGGGGGTACAAAACACACACAGATGGAGAACAAACAAATAAACAATCATGTACTAAATAAAAAAGCAAAAAATCCAGAAATTGCATACAAACAATACTTAATCACCTCCTTACCAAAACTATACAAATTGCAATCCCTTGTAAGTAATTAAATCAAAGCACAATAAATCCAGAAATTGCAACACCTAGACTCGTAGATTCAGCTAATTCCAACAAAATTAACTCAAATTCCAATGCTAATACCTATATCTACATTCACATATGTAAAAAACGAGTATGGTGAGAATCGATTGAATTACCCGTAGCTCTCTAGGGTTTGGTCGTCCTTCAAGATTTGCCATCCCCGGCACTGAGGTGGTGGTTTTGCAACAAAAGGAGGTGCTACACTACGGGCAACAGCAGCGGATTGGTGATGGCAGATCCAACACTGATGGTGATTGTTGTTGTTGGGGATGGGAGTTTAAACACTAGGGTTTCTACAGGGGAGAGAAAGATAATAAACCCTAGCTATTGCTAAGTGAGTGATTGCTAAGTGAGTGGTGAGAGGGGGAGACGGGGAGAGATACGGTTTGATTTGTTTTTGTTTCCACTGTGAATACTATATATATATATAGACAAATAAATATAATCACACTTAATTAAAAATATATATATATATATATATATAATCAAACTTAACTAAAAAGTGTGATTTATATATATATATAATCACACTTAATAAAAAAGTGACATAAAAAATAAATATTATCACCCTCAATCAAATTAAGTGTGATTAAAATATCAATTTAATTCTTTTTTATCACACTTCTAACAAAATTGAGATATTTCTATTTATCAAAGCGTGATCTTTAACTATTTTTGTAGGTGGGTCAAAAAAGACAATACTTTTAATGACAGGCATGTGTACGTCGTAAAAAGTGCAATACTTTTAACGGCGGCCGTTGTGTGCGCTGTGAAAAGTATTCACTTTTCATGGCTGGCGTATGTGAGTTATGTATAATAAATGTATTAACGGCACGCCATATGCACGTCGTAGAAAGTTTTATTATTTACGGCGTGCATTGCAAGCCGTAAAAAAATCATCGTTATTATCATTCACGGTCTACGCAATAGACACGCCGTAGTTGGAAAAGTATTTACGACGTGCAGAAAAAGCACGTCGTAGAAGTGAGAAACTACGACGTGCATTTATTGTATGCCGTTGATGTGGTGCCATAAAAAGTCATTTTTGTTGTAGTGAAGAAAGAAGGGAGAGAGCAGCAATTCGGCTGGGAGCATACCAGCAGCAGCTTGCAAGTGTTTACAATAAGAAGGTCAACCCACGAGAGTTACAAGTTGGGGACCTCGTCCTGAGAAAGGTCGTCGGTAACAAGAAGGATCCTAGAAAAGACAAAATTGGCCCAAATTGGGAGGGACCTTATAGAATTATATCGGTCGCCGGCAATGGGACATATCGGCTTGAAGACAGTGAAAGCAAAGAGTTGCCAAGATCCTTGAATACTTGCAACTTGAAGTTTTTCTATCATTAAATTTTTCACTTTTTAAAGTTTTTTGTTATTAGCTGAAGTAATAATAAAATTTTAGCTCGATTTTTAATTTCAAACTTGTGTAATACGACTGACCAGTCCCTTGGCGATGTTTCTAAGTGAAACATGACGAGTAACATAGACTTATTATATGACAGAGTTGAATTATACTTGCATATAATAAAGTTGAACTAAGTTGGCGATGTTTCTAAGTGAAACATGACGAATAACTTAGACTTATTATATGACAGAGTTGAATTATACTTGCATATAATAGAGTTGAACTAAGTTGGCGTTGTTTCTGATTGAAACATGACGAATAACTTAAACTCATTATATGGCAGAAGTGAAATTATACTTGCATATAATGGAGTTGAACTAAGTCGAATTAACTTAGACTTATTATATGGCAAAGTTGAATTATACTTGCATATAATAGAGTTGAACTAAGTTGGAT